CATATATTACAATCACAGCATGCCTCATCCACATAAAGTATTATAATATGTGATTCTTAAAATATAAAAACAATTCAAACTATCAAAACCATGAACAGAGCACTAGTAGAGATTGTATGTCTCTGTATTGTTACATCTATATATATTTTTTAAAACAAAAACCAACCAGCATATATCATATTTTCTATTTATTATTTTTAGAGCTAGATTTAAAAAAATATATATAGATAAATAATATGTTTATTTTTTTCAATTCAAAAAATATATTCAAGTAGAAAACTTTTTTTCAACAGAATATTTAAACTCTTTTTTAATTGAAAACACAAACATAATATTTAAACAAATTGAAAATACAAAGTCTTATAAATTATTAGGGGTGCTTGCGATTTGGCAGCTTGGCGGTTCGGTTGCGGCCAAAGAAATCTCAAATCCGCCATCCGTCCGCCAAATTGGCGGGTTGGAGAAAATCAATCCGCAACCGTCCGCTCGTCATCACGCATCCGTCCAAAATGCAGCGGATCGGTTCGGTTCGGTCGGTTTTGACGGATCGGTATATCCGCTGCTCACCCCTAGTTCTCACTTAATTAAAAATTAGGTTATTCTAGCAAAGGGGTTGAAAGTTGCATGATTGAATTTGTGACAAATTAAAAATTAATAAATAAATTATTATAAATTTGTGGAACTTAAATTGTAAATTTCAATATTCTTTGTTTTCATAATTTGCATACAAAAATTTAACTATTTATATTATTTTGTATAAAAATATATTATTAATTTTAGGAAAAATTAGTCTAATATCCCTCTCCAACTTTTGGTTGTAAGAGAGGTCCACAATATATATATTTTTTTTTGTAACTTAAGGTCCCTCGTCCATTTCTTTGCACTAATCCACTCAACTCTCTTTCTACTGTTTAACTCTCTCCCGTAGACCTAAGCGCGGAGATAATCAACCGGAGCTTTGGCGAGGAGTCCCTTGAGCTCATTGAGCGCTTCAAGTCTAGATTGCATGTAGTGGGAGACCGACGGGGTTCAGCTTTAGAACTAGGGTTCCTTCGATCAAGGGATCCAATTGCTTCTCCATGAACTTCACCAGAGATTCGAGGAAACAATCTCCAATCACAACCGTCATTTTATTAATTGCCAAAATTACGATTTATACAAGGAGAAAAATATGTATCCAGAACATAATTTTGAGAGTAAGAATGAGAGAGAAAATTCTGCGGATGTGAATTAGGGTTTTGGTGAGAAAGAAGTGTAGAGTGATAATTTCAAGAAGAAAATGGGGGTTTGGAGGGGGATTGGAAAGGGAAAAAGGGCCATGGCTTCTCTGCAAACGGACAGAGAGAGAGAAAGAGACGTTTTAAGATGGTGAGTGGGCGTTAATGATTAAGGGAAATC